GTTCGTCGTGGTCTGTAATTAAGATGTTTCAATAATTTCAAACCTTGCCACGAAATAAATGCACCGCCGCCATCGTCCATTGCGCCCTGACCAACGTCCCAACTATCGATGTGACCAGATATGACTACAACTTTCTCTGGTGTCTTAGAGCCTTTCAATTCAGCTATTACATTTCGTGATACTTTGTTCGGCAAATTTTTCGCTTGCATTTTTAAATTTATTTCCAGTACTGTACCTAAAAATGAAATGTATCATACATATTTCGTATGAAATGAATCATACATATTTTCGGTGATAATAAAAAAATTCTACCTCTATCAGACATCCTTCTGAACAGGCTGGCATCTTCAGCGGTGATACAAGCTACCGGAATTTTACTCACATTCTCGTCGTATCTTTGCATTCCCGTATGCGGAGTATATAAAGAATATGGAGTAACTGATCTAATTAAAGCGGCAACAGCACCATATTTTGATGCTTCTGTTGCTCCTTTGCTTCTATACTTTACTGTTTCACCATACGAAATATATTTTTCATTAAACACGACTATTTTTCCTGGTACCTAAAATGACCAAGCAAGTGATAAAAATTTTTAAACAAAATAAAAAATATTGGAAATATTACGATATATTTACTTCATGCTTTCTGTCCTCAAGTTCTTCGAAACTGTCCACGACGATAACCTTTGCGGTTATTCCTTCAGGTGGAGTCCCGACACTGGTGCCTAACCCCAAGAGAGCAATATTTTTATGTCTTGGTTTCAGAAGTGTCGCTGATTCTTTTCCTCTGGAATATACAACAATTATTTCGGTAATTTAAACTTTAATATTTATTGAAAATATTAAAGTTCAAATTTATTATCAAGTTTTACCTAACCCAATGTGGCACACTAACGGATTCTCCATGGACATTCTCCAATCCAAACTCCATAGATTTATTTAACACATAGTCGATGGAACGCTCTAGTACTGTAGTACCAGTAAATCTCGGACCAAATGTATCAACGAAATAAGCTAATTCATTCCAGGTGATTCCTTTGAAGGAGCCATGTAAAGTCTCGTTTATTATAGCATGAACAAAGGGCTCATACGAGTCTATTTCTTTTATAAGACTTTGCGGCAAGTTACATGCATTAACATTGTTTGTTTCATCACTCTCCAGTGCTATCGTAGATTGTACGTGAAAGAGCCACGCGACGATTAAGAATTTTGTAAAGAACATGTTGTTGAACAATGTAAACTTTTATAATTTCCGCTGAAAATAATTTTTTTTTACAATCGATAATATTTTCATTGCTTAGTTTGTTTGTTCTACATTTTATCCTTAATATTTTTAAATTAACTCTTGGTAATAAATTGATTAGAAAAGTTATTAAAGTATTATCTAATATATGTAGTTTATTACTAATATCCCTAAAATAATCGTACAAGTAGCTGGATGATTCCATAGAAAAATAAATCGAAGAAACATTAACATTTTTTCTTTTAAAACTCCATTTTTCAGAAAATCAAATTTAAAAATTCTGGGATATACATTCGATTAATATTGATCAAAATCATTCATTTATAATTTTACTTCATTAGAAAAGAGTATCTTTTATATGCATCGATTACGATCAACTCAATCAGCGACTCAATCACAATTCATATATAAGATAATACAAAAAAAAAAAACTGATGTAAATAAGAATACGAATAGTGATAACGATAAAAATAAAGATAAAGTTGAAAAATGATTATAGCTATAAAATTTTCCTAAAATTATAATATGTGAATAATACTGTGAACAAACTGTAATAAATAATTTATTACTTACTTTTCTATTATCTTCAAACTAAATAAAATGAAATTACATAAGCACACACTTCGAATCACCTACTGACTAATGTCTCATCAGCTGCACTCAATATATATATATATATATATATATAT